TTTATTCTCTCTCTTCCTCTTTTCCAGTGGTGGATTGTCAATCTTTTGGTTGATTTCCTCCTCGGCATTGGTGAACTGATATGCCAACTTGAGGAACTTGGTGACATCTTTTGGTTTGTTAGCTACCACGTGCCACTTGAACTCTTTATGGGTGATTCATTTCTTTGCCGCAGTGAGTCACATCACTGGATCGAGGTTCAGTATCTACAGGCAAGTATCGTTGAAGCGCTTTATGTTGCTTCTGATTGATTCTCCTTCCCTTTAAACCACGTTCATAAGGCTTTCTTGCGACTTCGGGCACTTTTTGCTAGTAATGAAATGCGTAGTAAATAGGTCAGAAAATTGGGACCATCTTTTGATGGAGCCCAGCGCGAGGTTCCAATACCAAGTTCGGACCCCCCAGCTAGGTGCATATAAGACTAGAAGGAATCTACATGATCGTTGGGGTCAAACGACCCATCATACTTATCTAATGGGGGCACCTTGAAGTCTTTCGGCATCGGAGTTGCTTGGAGCTCGGGAGAGAGGATATGACCGGCAAAGCAATGGAAGTGCAGTCTTCGTCGCCACCGAGCTCACTTCTTCCTTTTCTTTAGCTTGCACTCCTTGCTGGCTTAGCTTCGCTAGTGGACTATTTCTGGCCAAGGAGCGATGTGTCTTGCAACGTCGCTACTGCTGCTTCGTCACCGGATCGACGTTGGTGTTGCTGATTTCGGCCTGATCTAGTATCTCAGCATCACTACAGACATTATTGTGAGGTGGATCCTGGTTCCTTCTTGCTGGGTTCTCTTGGTTGTGGAGTTCGCACCGGTTATCACGAGGGACAGAGGGGTCTTGCCTCAAGTTCGCACCTCGGACTCTGGGCTGGTTGTTATCTCCTCGCGAGCCATTATTTTCCTGCTGGGAGTACCAAGCCGGATTGGCCGAGTTGAGCTGACTATCCCTGGGACTGTTTCTAAAATTTCCTTGCGAGACTAGAGGAGTGTGCTGACTGTCTTTCCTCCCACGGGGCAAAACTTGACCCTTGGGAGGAACTGACACCTGCGAGGTCCCCTTACCCTAATGGGGGGATCAGTTGACATTCTGGCTAGTTCCAGGCCGATTCGGGTTCTGGTCCTGACGTAACCCTGGGTGCTAGGGTGGAATTGGATGTTGGTTCGACTGCAATGGTGGGAATTGCTGTTGATATTGCTGGTACAGATAGTACTACTGATACTGTTGGAACTGTTGGACCTGCTGCATCTGGATCTATATTGTCTGGATGCACTGTACGAGGTGATGAAATTGGGAGTGCCCGATTCCAGGAGGGACCATAGATGGCTCGGAGAAAGTTACGCCCACTAGGGGAAGCAGGACTCACTTGCATAGTGCCCTACGGTACGGACTATGACGGGACCCTTGAAGCTGTAAGGGGAATAGTAAACTGGTCGATACATACCGTGGGACCTTAGGGGAAGGTTGATTGCTGATCTTGCCCCCTAGTGACGTTCATCTCGATGCTTTTCCCGGTGTTGTTAGAAGAATCTATTGGGATAAATTGAAAGCTAAAACTACAACTAAAATTGGGATGACCTTTCGATCGTGTTCCCACAGCCGGCACCAATTGATGGAGGGCGATCTAGATACTCCCTGCTGGAAGATGACCTAAACTCCAGTTGCACGGCGAGCTGGACCAAGTTGCAAAATAATATATCAGAGAACCTGGGGGGGCTAACCCGGTGAGGTTGCTCCGATGCTTAAGTTAGTTCTCTACTATGGATGCGAGTCAAATACTTGAATGATTGAGTGCTAGTGAGTAAATAATCACGCGTACCTTTGCCTTGGGGTTTGATGTCCTTATATAGTGGAGTAGTCGTGGACCTTACGAAAGAGCTCTGGGGTCTCTGGGCTGTGCGGATAAGATCTGTTCCGATTTTGAAGGAGAGCAATGCGTTAGTTGATAAGGTTTATCATTTTCCTTCGATATAGGCGGAGCTAGGATGAATCTCGTCGTGATCCCCATAAATTCGTGGTCTGTTAGGGTGGCTTTTGGAGTTGATTACATGGCGTTTCGGCTATTTAGCTCCGAACTGGAATTTCGGTTCTTTAGTCCCGAATTGGATTGGGTGTCGAGACGTCTCTACGCCGAGGTGGTTTTGGGGCCAAAGTGATCGAATACGCGAGCTTTGATTGTTGCGAACTTGGTTCCTTTGGGTGAGTTGTCACCTCTCAAGCAGATTGCGTCTACGTGACCCCTTCTTACTAGGTCGTGCCAAATTACCCTTCATCATTTTCCATAGGGGATGATTTAGGGATGAAAATTGGGTTAGTTGTGATATTCTAGAATGGGAAAGTATTATCACAGATGTAGCGATGGGTACAATGGAACTAGACAAAATCACTACCTATGTCCATGATAAAGGGGATTGCCTGAGGGGGACTAGCAAAGCTAAGGGGATTGGAGTAGCTTCCATAACTACCGGGGGGAATAGGGGTTTTGGTGGGATGGCTTTTCGGGGGATTTTTTATATGTTTAGCTATGGTTAAAGAGGTGGAAATGGGATGGATGAGCTCGTGCAATGGATTTGGAGATGGCTTGTTCTTGAATTGTGAGAGATGGAAGGAAACGAGAGGATGGGGAGAATGCACAATATGTTTTTTGACTTATGTTAAATGAGGAAGAGACAAGGGCAAAATGGACATTTCATCTTTCCGTTATGAATTATCGATGATGACAATTGTCAGAAGCAATAGGGGTGGTTTAGGATAATAGTTAAACAATGAGGGTACAATTTTTTGATTAACTAAATAATAGGAATAGTTTGAGAAATTTATGTATGTATGCAATAAGATCATTTGCACAAAAATAATCTTTTGGCTGGCATAATCAATGTTTGAGAGGGTGTTGAAATTTGTTGCTTTCCCATTTTTTTCATATCATTGTGTTTCAATATTTTGCCACATCATCATTTCAACATAGATGTAGGAATAGCAATGGGCTAGGGACTATATTCCCCATCCTTAACCTTAACTTTTAAATTAATCCATGTCCCTAATAGAGACATGTGGATCGGAATCCCTAATTTCTTTAATTAAAACTTTATTTTTGAATGAAGACATTTAAAATGGAGGGGTGGTGCAGGGGTTTCACTCCCCATCCTTGCCGTCATTCACAATCGAGTATTCTTATTAATCCCCATTCCCATCACTTCCAAGACAATATCCATCCATGTCTCCCTTGGTCTTGGAAGGCCAAATACCTAGTAGAGACATGGGAAATTGCCATCATTACATTAGTGAAATGAATCATTTGATCAAAATAGGGTTAATTAAACACAATAGTTGTTTATCAAGTTGTGGAACCAATGATAAATCGCCACACCAGTCTAGAAATACATATGACCCACAATCATTCATGATTCAACTTCTCACTATGTACCCTTGTATTTCTTAACTAACATGTGATATTATCATTGATTCTGCAAGATACTACACAACCATTGGTTCAACTCATCCTAATTGCAACAAAAATTATACCAACATGGTTTCAAATTCAACTCGACATGTGTCCGCATATCTCACCATGAGACTGCGGCCCATCTTACCTATGATGTGAGGACACATATCATGTTGGAACTGTGTTGGTACTTTTTTTTTGTGGCTAAATTGGGCCTAAACGAAATTAATTAATTTGTTGATGCTCCTTTATAAAAAAGTAGGTCGTTTACTAAAACACCCCCTATTGTTTTATGAAATTAATAAAATCTACCCCATAGTTTGTGTTTTACTAAAACATCCCCTATAGTTTGTAATCAATTTTACTTAATTAACCTTCCATTTGATGAAAATGGAAACTGAAAGTTTTAACACTAAGATCCATTCAAATATAAAACACAAAGAACATCTTTATTTTTTTTCTTTATTTGGTCAATTTTGTTTTCAATAGAAGTGTTAGGGGTACTTTTGGAATATATAATCATTGATCAATACCCTTAACATTTTCCACTTAGTTTAGGCCTTTAGGGGCACCTTTGCAATAAACAACTGTGGGTCCATGCCCTTAAACATTTTTCACTTAGTTTAGGTGACCATGTTACTATTTTCATATGGCAAAACAAATAGCTCTTAATGAAAGGTCAATTAAGTAAATAGATTGTAAACTATGGCAATGTTTGGCATAAATGTTGTTTTCTGAGAAAACAACACCACATAGGCACCACATAAGAGAAACCGATGCTTCAAACAACACCCTTTTATTTGGCACAATTATTTTTAGAGAAAACATTGCTCCATATCACACTTTGGAAATTGGAAAAGTGTGCTATTGAGCAACACCAAATTCAATGTCTTATGGGAAAATAATGTATTACTGCCAACGATGCAATGATGTGGCATCATTTTGGGCGTTGAATAATATAGATCAATGTAAAAAATGTTGCTGTCAGCACTAATACCAAACCAAACCAGTGTCGTTTTTTCAAAAATCAAACATGTGGCAGTACCCAAATAAAAAATAAGCACCGATTTCTCACTCCACATACATAACAACGTTTTTCTCAAAAAAACATGTGATGTTCCTAGCACCGATACCAAAAACCTACTATGATGTTTCAATAAAATGCAAATTAGAGGGTAGCTTTAAGTACATGGGTTCGAGTAAATGTAAAAAGAATCCGGCCTAGAGGTTAATGAATAATGAAATGGGAGTCTTCAAAGGGAACACGAGTAGTCAGCAGAGGCACTCACGTGGGTGTTTTCGTCGATGTAAAATAATATCGGGACACTTTCGTAATTTGATATTGTTCTTTCGTACTTTCCTTCCAGCTACACGAATTCCGTATCATCCCCAAAATTTCAAAACAAACAACCGCGAAAGTGACTAAAAATCGAATATTTTGCTTTTCTTCGCGCGACCCCAAAGTGCATTGCCACGTTGGCGATCCGCGTGAAGCCGAATCGACCACTCAACAACGAGAACCTTCTAGACAACGCACTATATAAACCTAGGCCCCTTCCAAAACAAGTCTGAAAGAGTTTCTCGGTCGTTAGGGCTAGGCTGACGGTGACGGACGTAGTACCGTAAATCCATCGATCCGAACTGAATTCTAGAGAGATGAGTTCCTCAGCTTCAACTAAGGGCGGCAGGGGAAAGCCAAAGGCTTCCAAATCGGTTTCTAGGTCTCAGAAGGCCGGTCTGCAGTTCCCCGTGGGGAGGATCGCCAGGTTTCTCAAAGCCGGCAAGTATGCCGAGCGTGTCGGTGCCGGTGCTCCGGTCTATCTATCTGCCGTTCTGGAGTACCTCGCCGCTGAGGTTTGTGATCATTTTGATTTGTCTCACATGTCTGGTATTTTATGTGTTTTGATTTCGATTCCCGAAACTTGATGTTCTGATGGTTCTGTGTTGTTTTCAGGTTCTTGAATTGGCTGGAAATGCTGCAAGGGACAACAAGAAGAATCGTATTGTGCCGAGGCACATACAGCTTGCGGTGAGGAATGACGAGGAATTGAGCAAGCTATTGGGATCCGTTACGATCGCCAACGGTGGGGTTTTGCCCAATATTCATCAGACTCTCTTGCCGAAGAAGATTGGGAAAGGGAAGGGCGAGATCGGATCTGCCTCACAGGAGTTCTAGATTCTTTTATGTCATTCTCGCCCCTTTGTTTTTGGATCCTGGATGTATATTATTTAGTTATTAGCCCTTTTTGTTACTATCCCTTTCTTCTAAATCAATCGAAAGTGCTTGTTTTTAGAAACAATCAGGCTAATTTCTATCAATAGTTTATTTTTTCTTTCAATATTATAAAAGTCGCAGATTTAAAAATAAGCATCAATTTTTCTTCGTTAATATAACCGGCAAAATTCTAGTAAGCACATCTGATGTCGTTGGGAATCGGAAGGATAGCGAAAGGAATCCCTGTTCTCGTTTTTAACTACCAATCCGTCAAATAGTTCCTGCCGTTGTAAATTTAATTCTATGAAGGCGTTCTGAATTCGTCTTCCTTGTCCAGAAGAAGATTGAGATAAAAATGATAGTGATTGTAGTGTCTGCATGCAATGTGAATATATTGACTGAGTACCCCTAAATGGTCTGCATTCCACACATCATAATGGGCAAGCTGCTGTGCCGGTTCTTTGATCTAATATTGAGTGCAATGGTCTGTTTGTATTGCTTTCCCAGTCGCACCATCGTATCCAGACTTTGAGATAACCCAAGCCAGAGATGTTTACCGCATGACAGACGGTTGCAGGATCATTCGACATGCGTTCTGCTGCGGCTTGTGATCCAGATGAACGAGTCTTTGTTATTTTGGGCTGAGTTAGGAAGGAGTACATATGCAAATATGTAGGGTGTAGAACCTTATATTTTGTATGTATTTACGCTGGACACATTTGCATTTGTACTCTTTCCAAACTGAGCTTGGCTGCAAATGACATTTGTTTTAGGCAATATTGCTGAATTTGTGAAAATGTATTATATCTTTACCAATCAACACGACCCCACCAGCTTCTACATATCTATTAATCATTCAAGTGTGGGTATTTCTGCAAAAAATTGACTGTTTTGATGGAAGGCTTTTACATATCTATTAGTAGGGTTCGCGTGAATTATATGAACCATTAACTTTACATTGGGAAAGGTTGGAAGGCTTGTGGCGCAAGCGCAATGGCACGTTTGTGTCAACAAAATGCAGGGAACTGCCAACAATTTTGGGTACCAGAAATCCTTACTTTGCCTCTAAATGCATCCTCCGTTTATAGAGTTTTCTATTGTATTGATGCAGAAGCCTACGGATTTTCCCAGCCCCATGGCTTCTGCAAGTTTTGATCTAGCTTCACGGTGACGATGTAGAAGTATTACAGTGTTCAGTAGTGCCCATTTCACCTGAGAATCTGCTTCATTCTCTGTAAAGCCCAAGCATTTGAATATTCTGTTCAACTGTTCCACCATAAGAAAGCAGTTAGTAATGGTGTACCATAATAGAAAATTGTTTGTTATTGAAGACATTATCCAACCTTTTCAATGTCAGAGTAGCTTCCTTCAGAGAACCCAAACACAAGATATTCTGATACTAGACCTGCTAATGTTATGCAGGAGAATCTGTTCAAATTCTGCCAGAAAAACATAATCATCAATATAATTTAACATACACCAAGTACAGAACAATTTTTAAGAAGATCTGCAATAAAGAATGGGTAAATTATATCATAAGGCAGCTGAGAGTCTGAGACCATAAAATTTTTCCCTTCCTATGCCTTACGCATCTAACAACTCAACTAATTGATTTAACTGATCCACCTCTTATGGATCCCGAAAGCACCTCCAAGTAGGCCCCAAATTCCCCAAAGATCAACCGTCAAACATAAGTTCGATTACTTCTTGAGAGGGAGAGACCAGGGTTGAGGGCTGATGACATTGGAAACTGAACCCATAAAACCATCTTTACATCATTTGTAGATAAGTCTCTGATCTCTCTTGCCTGTACACAATGTGCCAACCACTCAATGTGAGTGGAAAAGAATATGGCACAAGGTGGTTCATGACTGCTATTCATGTACAATTTCCTTCTTCCTTGATTGAAATGTTAGATTTGTATTGATCAACAACAGTTAAAACAATGGGATGCTGGCCAATATCATGTTGACGTTGGGATGTTCTAATTAGTAATTACCTTAAACTGTGTTGTAAGATTATTTCCCTTTGATGAGAAATAATACGCAAATAGATGCCATGGCATTTCGGAGTTAGTATAGGCATTCTTATCAACAAATCACTTTAGTTATAGTACTTAGATGTTTTGAATACACATTAAATGGAATATATTTCACTTGAATTTTGCTTAATATTTGCATGCATGGGTCAATAATCTAAGATTAGCTCTGTACTTAATCATGATGTCAATAGAACTTAGCAATCAATCTTCCAAAAAGGGGACTTATTTGGGCACATCCCTGTTTATATTTATGTTGAGAAACTTCATCAGGTATTTCTGTCTTTCAAAACATGTAGTTTTCATTAATGATTCAGAGCTTGTCGTTGCATAAAAAATAGGATGTGCCAAATCACTCCTAAAAATTTTTCACTTGCCAAAAAGAGAACAATTTTAGAATGTCTATCAACCATTCAGTAAAAAAATTTGGACAATTATTTGGAAATTGCACAGTAAGGCACTTCAATTGAGTGAAATCCATAGAAACATTTAAAAATGGAATGCCTAACAATGAGTCAGAAAATAGACACATCTGTTTGGAAATTGAACAATAACAGTAAGGCACTTAAAGTAACTGAAATCAATAGATGCACATTCCTTCCAGGATTAGATTGTATGTGAAATTACCAGATTCTCTTTGAAGTACATAACTGACTATTTGCACTCTATCATTCTTTCCAATAGTAGGAGTGCCAATCCTGTAGGTGTCATAAAAAATTTGGTTCTATATTGTAGGTGGAGTACCCAAGCTTGTATGCTGGTAAAGTTTGGGGGAGGGCTACCCCCTGTTGTGTAGCCCATTACCAAAAAGCATTAGCAAAATAAAAAAAAAAAAGTACCCAAGCTAGTTGGTGTAAGGTGGTAAAAAGGCATGCAACTATTGCATGGTGAAGAGGATTATTTGTCATTGACCTTGAAGGTTAAACCATCAGATTAGAGAGACAAGATCTTTCAAGTTCTGATTAATTCCCTATTTGTTTGGGTTTTTCAATCTCTTAATTCCTTAGTCAATTTGTTGTCTAGCTGAGTGGTTGTGATTGGTTGATGTGGCAGAATATCCAAAGGCAGTACAAGCATCAAATTTCCAGCTTGTCTTAATGGTTCTTGGACAGAAAGTTAAGAGAACAAAGAAGAAAAAAGAAAGACAGAAGAGTGAAGGGTATAGTTGCACTGCCTAACTTACTTGGGGAATGGCATCTCACTAACCAAGCTAAGGGTGAGTCTCACCACCAACAAGATAATCTGTCAGATTATCAGTGGGGCCACAGCTTTACACCTAGATAGGACCAATGGACTTGGATCAACAGGTATGGTGCTTTTCTTAACATTAAAAGAAAATATTAGAATAAAGAGAGAAATTACAAGAGATGTGAGTACCAAGGGAACATGAGAAGTGTGTTGCAAAAAGTTCCTTCACTTCAAAGATATATTCTGCTTTGGGACCTTTTTTCTTGCTCTTTTTTTGGTTGAGTTACCTTTTCTTTTTCTTGCTGGGAAAGAGTTCATTTAGGTATATTTTGTACAGGGGTAGCACCTTTCAATGGACGTGGATTTTCATGGCTGCCTCTTACTCAACATGTACAGTCTGTTTTGACAATTAACAAAATTTGACCTTACCAAAAAAGTAAATTAGTAGTCTGCTACTCTTTTCAATTTGTAGTGCACAATTGCAGACTAGTTAAATTTACAAGTTTATTTTGACAGGAAGAAGATATCAAGCAAGGAATGAATAAACAAAAGTATGCCAGGGAATGGAAGTTTATTAATTATTATGTATAGATTTTGCCTGCTTACCACATCAGTCAATTGGCACTTTAGATGCTTTGTGAGAATGAGAATGACTATATACTATATACTAGAACAGTAGAACTTAGCCACAAAATTTTACTGCATTATCTAGCACGAGCCAGTGATCTTGTAGAACCCCACAACACACAGGTATGGACACTTAAAAAAGAGTAAAGAATAAGAAAGGAAAAGGAAGTTACTTCGCCAAATTCTGTTCCACCTTTAAAGGATTCAAATATATATATTTTTTATTGTTAAGAATTAATTTTATTGCATGATGAAAGGATGATAATACAAATACCCAACGCTTGGGAGGTAGGTAACTCAACTATATGCCAAACACAGCTGACGGCTAACCAAAAATAGCTTACTAACACCTCAGATTCCAAAACATGAAAAGCATCATGCTCTACAGAATAGAACAAGATAAGGTTATTTTCTTAACAGAAAGGTTGACATATGTTTGAATTCTGGTAATCTATAAAAGATTTGATTTCTTTAACTCAACTGTGTGCCTGTTCACATTAATTACTTAAAACTGCTAGATATCAATAATTTCACGACCATGAGACTAGAAGAAACCCTAAAATGTTTCAAGTAAAAATTGTGCATGTAAAATAAGAAGATATTCTGTCAGCTAATAAGAAAGAGCATATGACATTACCTTTGATGAAAAATTTCCTCTGTTCACCTGCAAAAAGAGGAAAGATATCAAAGTAAAATTCAATACCAACAACAATGCAATAATACTTGTTAACCAGCAACATACATCATCTTCCAAATTATAGCATGTACATAAACAGTAAGAAATGGATAAATCCTTCCTGCAAGGTTTGTGAACTTTGAGCTCATTGCCTGAAATGATAACTAACCTCACACTTCCAAGAATACGGATAATGATAAAATGATCAACGGTTTAGTTTGTCGACTAAATGTTTTTTCATCAAGTGAGGGTTCTAGATGGAATGGATTGGAGGAACAGAATTTGTACATCCAACCACACTCAGGTAGGGTAAACTTAATGATGATTATCTGCCAGGCAAGGTAACTTCTTTTCAACCAAAACCAAAAACATACATGAATGTTAGGTATTTCTAAATAAAATTACAGGAACTCCTTTATCTTCTTGGTTGGGTAGTGATGGATGATAAGTACTTCCTATGCTAGACCTACTTGTGTTGCCTTTACTACCCATTTCTGATACAAATCTATTTACTTGATACAAAGTTTGCTTTCAGTTATCCTGGTATTACTATTAAGTATTAACTTTAATTGGGATAGAGTATGAAAGATATGACATCTAAACTGGCCTCCAAAGTAGCTTAGCGTGGAAAGACACTGTCAAGGGACTAGAGATGCTACTAACAGAAATTGCTCATAAAATACAAAACATCTGAAACTAGAGTACAAAATAAATACCACTATTGAGGCATGTAAAGGTTCAAAATATTGCAACATATCAGGGTGTATCAGGTGTATTGTATCGTTCTGGTAGTGCCTAATATGCTAAATAACAGGTAATTTGGGTCAAACCCACTTTCAGGGAGTAGCCAGGCCTAAGATCGACCCCCTATAAATTTTTGAAAAAAAAGAGGGTTGTGCCTTTGAACATCCAATATGCAAGTTTGTGCATACCGGGTATCTTGTTACTTTGAACCTTGAGGTATGCATAAATATAAATTGAAAAAGAAAAAAAGCCCGATATGCAAGTGTGGCTAACTTTTTGTCAGAGGCAATCCATGTTAGAAGGAAAAGAAAACTCACTTTGGCATATGCATTTCCATAATTGACCTTTTAATCTGCATATAGGAACTTTCCAATGTTAATCTGCATATAGGAACAATAATAGCAGGGGCCATTGCTAGGTGTAATGGTAAAATATAGGGCCAACAAGTGTGAGAATGTATGTTTGAAACAGCTGTAGCGCCAAAATTGAAGCAAGGTTCAAAAGATCACAATGTATCAGGGTGCATTGGGCTTATTGTATCATTCCAGTAGTGCCCTGATATGCTAAATAACAGGTATTTTGAGTCACCCACTTTCAGGGGGTAGCCTGGCCTAAGACCGACCCCCTGCAAAATTTTGAAAAAAAAAAACGAAAAAAAGAGGAGTGTGCATTGGAAACACCTGATATGCAAGTTTGTGTGTATTGGGTGTCTTGATACTTTGAACCTTGAACAGGGGAACATAAAATAGGGACTCACTCCAGAGGACTCAGAACTCTGTAAAATTCAAACTGCCCATACTAGAATTATCACAAGGGTAGGGTTTACCTAAGTACTACTTTCCAGTCTCCTTCGACTTCCATACCTTTTCTTTCTTGAAAGGTAAGTAAAATGATTGTATTAATGAAGAAAGGGGAAATCCCCACTAATTACGAGGCAAGCCCCTTTGAAATAAACGAGCTCTCAGTATACACTATGCACACCATCTACAGTCAAGAAGAATGACTGGCATAACCTACCAAGCAATAATTTGACCCCACTGATCACAAAAAACTGGAAATGATAGACCAATGAAATTCTTCTTAAGGCATGACTAATTAATTAGGAGCCTCTCCACTCTGCCTACTATTGATTCCACTTGAGATGCTGTGCCCCTAAAAATCTGATTGTTTCCTTCTCCCGACAAAACCCAACAAATATCCATAGGGGCAGAACATCACAATGGCTGCTTTTTATTGTTGAAGCTACAGGCCATGCAAAAAACATACCACAGATGTCATTATGGGGCACCCATGACTTACCAAAAAGTCTGACGACGTGGACCCATACAGAACAAATATGGATAATGTAGTTGCAGATGGTTAACAGATTCCCAATCACCTTTGCATAAAGAGCAACAACTCACCAAAACCATCCCTCTGGCCATAAGGTTATCAATGGTTTGGTTTTTGTTCAAGATAGCAGCCCAAATGAAAACAACAACAACAACAACTTTGGATGGGGCACCTGATCTCCAGATCCACTTTCATGGCACTTCATTTGAGTTATGGACTGATGATAATAAAAATCCAAAACTCTGTTTTTCTTTGATTTTTGAGAAAAATCTCTGAGTTCACTTCCTAGGCACCAGAAAATCAAATCAGTCTCGAAAAATCATTTTCCAAATAACATTGGTCAATCTTCTCAAATCAAAATCTCATACAGTCTACTGATCCTAGATCTGCATGGGTTTCACCAACTGACCAAAGGAACTACTCAAGGTACAAATATATAAATTTGCCTTGAATCAAATGGAAAAAAGACAAAAGATTATAATATGTGTAGCTATAACTAAATGAGAAATTGAGAAGAAGCAAGAGAGGAAAGGAAGAAAGAAAAGAGAGAGAATAATTGGGAAAAGAGCAATCTTGGGTTACATGTGTAGCATGTACAACACTTTCCTATTTGTATATGGAGTATAACATGGTAGAAATAGACAAATATGCCCCTAACTAACAACAAGATATAGAGGAAAAGAATATAATACACAAAAGGACTATTAACTACACCAAGTATAAACATGTCAACACTTGGGATCCAAGAAAATGTGATGTTCAACCTTGGAGCTCAAGATTTAGCCTCTCTAGGCTCATATGAAAGCCTCCAAGGGCCCCTAAGATCATCACATATCCATCTAGTGAAATTATACGGACCTGCTTCTATTTCAACATCATGGCCAAGGTAACGAATGAGCCTAGGTCCGTTGTGACAATGTTGATGCTTCTGTTCATATAGAGTCTCTCTCCCCCCACAAAATCAAAGAACACTATTGTACCTTACTAGCCAGAGAATGGGTAAGGAGGGAGAGCCATACTGAGGCTTCTCTTGAGACTTATTCCAAGGAGCCAATTGTATTGGGATGAGAGAGTGAGCATGCTCAATTCTCTTGTTCTATTATTTTTGGAGCCTTATGTACACTATTTTTTGCTTTGATGAAGTTTCTAGTTCATATTAGAAACTTCTGAAAGGTTATATCAATATGTATATTTGAAAGATTATGATCAAAAGTATTTCATTGACTAACTGGGGACAATTACAAAATAGAATAGAGATGTACTAGATGGACATCAAAAGAATAAAAATGAGTCCATCACAAAGATGTACAAGCACACCACCACACAAGCTTTCTAGTGTAATGACATCTCACTTAACATTATACCCCAGTTCATTCCCAATCTTATTAAGTTGTCTGCCACATGATTTAGCTCCTTTGGGATCCATATCAAAATGGTAGGGCAGGAAGTGGAATAGAAATTCCATCATCCTCTTCCAACAAATTTACTCCATTTGATTTGCATTAGAAGAGTTTCCTACCATAAAGAGACAAGTTTCTTTGTTGAGTGAAACAGAAAAAGAAAAACGTTTTCTTTTTCAGATCTGTACTATATAATGCCATTACTTGCCGCTAGAGTATTTTAATAGCACCGTATCATATATAATGCTTACAAATGTCAATGTTCAGATGTTTTAATCTTTAAATTTAATCAATGAGTTAAGACATTTAAAATAAGTACAGTAGGAAAAGTGTCATAATCTAAATGTCCCTTCATCTTTTTAGTTTTTGCTTTTTACCCTTTTATCTTTACTTGGAAATGTGCATAGCATATCCCTTACAGTAGAGATGACATAATAGCATAGATTTATTAATAGAAAGAGAAAACTTAGATATGAAACCTAAAAAAAATCAACTCACTTCTTTAAGAAACTCAAAACCTACAAACTCTACTTTTCCCACTATGAATTTGTCCTTCCAGAAGGCTTCTATACTTGGTACCGCATATCCTCTTGGAAGAATCCCAAGCAAGTAGGCAATTAGAAAATGACCAGCTTCATGCTGCACAACCATATCCAGATAGTTTACAATTTTACATCAATCACATGATGAAGGTATCTCATACCATATGACTATTGAATGCAAAAGAAGACTAGCTGTGGTGCAAGGAAATACATATGCATGTTTAATGAACTAAACGTCACATTGCAAATATATTAGGTCAATTCATAGGATAACCACAAAATCCTAGCCTGGCCAAGGATCACTAAATACCATTCAGCAGTGAAGTAGAGGGCATGATGGACATACAAAAAACCGAATGTAGAAGTGGTGCTCAACAGCACAAACCATCTCAAAGGAACTTGGATCAAAAACTATCTTGAGAACAGTGAATTGCAACACGTCAAAATGGAAATAATTGAAGTACATGGCTTACATGATCCTTAGTTATCTTCAAGAACTATCTTGAGACAGGTTTTATTTGCCTTGTGTTGGCCTTTGCGGCATACTAAGATACATAGGCATGCTATTCTAGAGAAATACAATCTGCTACCTTTTTAACCTCCTGCAAGTGTTGTTAGAAAAGATTTATGTTGGTAAAAAGAAAGGTTTGAGCAAATCCAAGGAGAGAGGAAAGGTTGACATATGATGCCTGATGCTAGTGTTGGTATGGAGTGGACAATCAAGATAGAATGAGATCAGCTGGAATCAGAGGGGAGGTTGGTAAAAAAGGGTGAAGGGTTGATTGTAAACAAAATCTTTAAAAAGAATGTAGTTTTGTAGTTAGAAAGGATTAGTGAGAAATCCAAGGATCAGAAGGTTCATATAAGAAGCCTAATGCAGTTAGACGCTTTAGAATACAGAAATTCAACTGGATGGTTTAGGTGTCAAAAGTTTTTGACAGCTTAAAGGGATGGGGATTTATTTGGGATCAAACCTATAAAGAAATTTAATAAAACAAATAGTTGTAATAGGAGAAGTAAATAAATCCCTGCTTTACACACTAGAGAAAAGGAGTAATTGCAAAGGTGCAGGGCTTTGTATTGTGTGGAATGAGATGATCATTTTTGATAGGGTTGTGTCAGTTTTTTGGGAGAGGCTGTGATTGTTGGGTTGGGTGGTGCAGGAAGGCTCTATTGTGAGTTGTAGGTTTGAGCTTTCTGTCAAACAGACAATGAATATTGAGCAAAAAAATGGAGAAAAAGGACAATGGTCATGAATAACACTGGTCATCTCCCAAGTTCCAATAAGTATGAATTATGAAAATGGTGTTAACAGTCATGTCACAAGAAGAGCAAGGTGATAGAGCATTCTTAATTAAGGGAAACAGCAGCAGAGAATTAGCCTTAAAGCTGATATATTTCCTTATGAAACAGAGGAGAAAATAACTAAAACGAGGCATGTTTACTCAAGCATTTGGAAAACTATGACTTTATAATCTATCTAGCAACATGATTTACAGTAAACGAGGCATGTTTACTATCACTGTGCTCAATTTGTTTTATGTAATGCTGTATGACATCGGGTCAACCAAATTGCAAGATTTTTTACCAGATAAATTTGATTACAGAGGCAATATAAGTATGGGGTTTTTACCAAGAAATTTATTATTCAAATCAAGAACTGTGATGTATAAAAGATTCTCTTATAATAAAATGAATAAAAAAGCTCATTTTTGCATTGAGCTATACACTTTATGCCAAAAAGCAACCCATTGTAAATAAGTAATAAGAAATTGGCACAGAAGGGGGTACCTAAACACTCCCCCCACTGACCACACACAAACAGATCTTAGCTCCATTTTGAAAAACCGGCAACATAGCTTGGCCAAATTTCTTGATAAACATGTAAGTATGTAACTGTTCAATATACTGTGACAGTAGAAGTTTCATATGGGTCACAATATCATTCGTCCTGTGCAAAAGTTCAATTTTAGGAAAAAAATTGTGTGCGGAAAGAATGATAAGGTTGACAAAAGAAAGGCATGTCTTACTTGCATGCACATTAGATGTTTTTCTTCACAAAGAGAATCTGTGTCAAGTATTGAACTCTCCAGTTCATTAAAAGAGATCTGCACCACAACAAATTTAATGAGTTGTCTAGAATTTGTTGAATTTACCAAACCATCATGAAAAACTTGAAATGGGTAAACCAATCCCCAGGAGGACCTGCAATTGGGCAGGGCAGTAACAGTAGTCTGGGACTGGCTATCAACCATGAAAGCAAAAGCATCCACAACTTATAAGCAATAAACGATGAAAGATCTATTTGATATAAGGCTTTGTGTTTATGTATCATCTATCAAGTACCAGTATAGGGGGTATTCAGTTATTTGAGCATATTTATAGAATATTCTGAGTAGGTTGACATGTATTGTTTAATTGTCTCTCTTTTATCCTTGATTCTTCCTTCTTCCCTTTCTTTTCTTATTCTGCTAATGCCTAATGCTAATCTAACATGATGTCAGAGCCAGGTTGATCTAATTGATTTGACATTTTGACCTATTCCTTCCATCCATTTTCAATTTCTCTATCCACTTAGTCATTTAGTATAAAGTAGAGAAATTCTATGTAAGAAAAACTCACTGACTCGAGTGTGGCAATTTTAAGACTTCTGTCCACTAACTCCAGTAATGGATCCACCAGTGGCAGTAAAGGTAATATATCCGGTCCAATCAGCTTCAATTCATCTAATGTATTAACACTTCGAGGTACCTGAATAGAACATAGTCATATTAATACAGGTTGAAAGATGAAAATTTTCACGATATCTCTTGCGGAAAAATGAAACAAAAGATACAGTGCTAAAGAGTGCGATGGCAAAGCAGGATTGGTATGGGCCAATTCAGTTGGACTGAGACCAAGTTTAGTTTTGAGTGGAGTAACATGGCAATACACTACAATAAATACCTCTAAAAGAAAGAAGGAAGAGCACTGAAAAACTGTAAGAAAATAATCAAACCAATAAAAAAAAAGTTTTGGAAGACTATGGATACTAGCCAAACTCACCATGTATATTCAAGACAAATGGATTTAGTGTTAGTGATGGATTTCTAATTCCAACTGATAAACAATAATAATCCTTGCAGCATGAAATCCTTATTAATTCTTTCAATCAAGAATTAGTAAAGTTCCCTAACTCTTCCCCATAAACAGTTTTATCTCGCAAATATTCGAGATGAATCATCTTTCTTGAAAACCCTGTGGCTGTTTGAATAATCTGAATCCCAGTTATTGGGTGTTTGTCTGCCACAATTATGCAATTCTTATTTTTGTTGATACATGGACCAGAGAAATTTTCGTATTGCCTAGGAAATAGATGCCTGCTTTATAGAAGTTCTGGTTGTACTTGCAGAAACTATAGTCTATAGAATTGTCTGCAAATTAACGAGAACCTTAGGAAAGCGCATCAGAAACAAGAGTGAATAGTTCAAAACCTGCAGCTTTGCAGCTCCAAAACCACAGAGACCCCCAGGCTTCTCCTGCAACTGCTTAACGATTGAAAGCGCAGTCTTGAAATTTCCCCTCGACAGCTCCCTATCAACTCTTTGGAGACCATGACGACGCAAGGAGAGTTGTTCCTTGCGTCCAGTCGAAACTATCATGTTTCTAGTCATTTGAAATTCTGGGCGATGGCGAGAGGACATTCCAATTCCATTGGGACGTACTGTAAAGACAATGCTGTTGGTGTTGGGAAAGAAGTCTTCATTAACCGCACAGGCGGCCATCCACCGAACCTGATGACAGAGCACCATTCAATTATCCAAGCAGCTTCCTACATGGATTGCACTTCAATCGCCCAAATTTTCTTCTTCTGCTTCAGTCACACTAATACAAGGTCAGGTGTATTACTGTGCAATTTATCTTTCTTGATTGGACAAGAAAAGTTTTCATCTTTTTTGATAAAATATACGATGTCGGAATACCGTAAAGGTTTTCATCATTCACAACCCAGTGATTTTTCGTTTATTGATATTATTTTTAAAAAATTAAATTATTTTTGAAAATTTTCTAAAAATATTACTTTTATGAGGCGAATTGTCTTTTTTGGGTAAAATACAAAAACTTTTCTGAAGTTTCTGATAATTATAAAAACCTCTCCCATATTTTTATTTTAACAAATACCTCCCCTGAACTTTTAAGAAACTCAACAAAAACTTCACTCTTCGGGACAGAAAACTTTAGATTGATGCACCAGTTCTTTTCCAAATATCCATTCTACCTTTTTATAAATTATTTTACATACAAAATTACTGAGATAATCCCATTTTAACTCAACAAAAAAATATATTTCAGTAATTTTGTATGTAAAATTACTGAAATGATTGTTAAAAGAGGTTTTTGTTGAGTTAAAATGGGGTTATTTCAGTAATTTTGTATGTAAAATAATTTATTAAAGGGTAGAATGGGTATTTGGAAAAAACCGGTGCATCAATCTAACGTTTTCTGTCCGGAACAGTGGTGGAATGAAGGTTTTTATTGAGTTTCTCAAAAGTTCAGGGGAAATATTTGTTAAAATGAAACTATAGAGGAGGTTTTATGATTGTTAGAAACTTTAGGGGAGGTTTTATGATTTTACCCTTTTGTTATGAGAATAAAAGGCGAATTGATGAGGTGCTCAAAGAAGTGAATCTGAATAACCTCCCAACAACATACAAACATGATATCACTTGCATGACGGGTCCTACTTTTATGATGGGCTCCAGTCTCATAGTGAGATGTGTGGTGTTAGATCAAGTTGGTAGGGGTTGGAACATGTTTTGTTGGCAGATCAAAGAAATATACAATTCTCCATGAAATACAGAATTGTAGACCTAAATGTACGGCCAACAATTTTGTGTGCAAGGAATTTTGATAAAAAAATCACATGGTTAGTTACATAATACTTTTCATGTAACACAATTTGCAATAAATGCCCCTTGAACTTTTACTTTGCAATACATTTTCCCCATAAAAAATCAAGGATGAATACCTCTTGAATTTTCGCTTCGCAATAAATGTACTTCATTAGATTTCTATTGGTTAATTTCGAAAAAGATTATCATTCAACTGTTTAAAATTTTTTAATCCCCATATTATTGTTTTATTATTTATTTGAACAATTTATGATTTATTTTAATTATAATTTTAAAATCTTCTCCATTGCTCTGATGGATCATTGTAAATTTAAAGCTAGATTTAATATTCATATGAAATGGTAGAGGATTTTTTTTGATAGATATAGATTTGAAGTTTTGTTTATTTTTTCTTGATTTATTAGAGAAAGGAGTGAGTAATTTTTGTATTTTAAGATAAAGAGAAGCATTCATGTTAGTGAAATGAAATAAGAATTTAAAGAAACTTGTCTTTCTATGCCAATGAAATGCTTTCTGTCATTTTAGCTAAAATGGAGGTATTTTTATATCAATTAGGCCTTGAGAGAAAATGGCAAGGAAAAGAAAATAAGAAAAATTTAGATGGGTATTTTGGTTATTTAACACATTTCAAAGTATGACTTAACAACTAGAGGTATTTGCTGCTAAGTAAAAGTTTAGAGGGTCTTTGTTGCAAATGAAAGTTTAAGGGGGGTAATTGTCATTGGCCTCATGGTACAGGGGTCTTTTTAATTTACCCTTTCAAATATAAGTTTTCTTATTAAGCATGTGCCTATCCATTCTCATAAAAAGTGAGTAATTAATTAAAGTCTTATTAACATTACAGGATAAGTAGTGAATATTATATAAAATGATATTATTAAAAATATAAAAAAGGATATATAGGTATAGTTACCTCGTACTTAGTACGGAGTCATTCTCTACTTTCATAGGATGATAAATTTTGAAGCTTTATTAGGGATTCTACTATGATATCATAAGGATGTGATATTTGAAAAGAAAATAACCAATCAACCAGTATCACAAAAGTGGTAGCCAATCAGGTGGTGATGGAACCATTTGTGACGTATTCCCACAGACGGCGCCAATTGATGAAACCGTTTGTGGTGTATTCTCATAGACGGCGCCAAATGATGTAACTGTTTCTGGTCACGTACCAATTTTTTCGTGATGTATCAATTTTTTTGGCTAAGTACCTCGTTCTATGACCTGCTCCCAGGTGGCCTGTGACTCAGAGGATGATGGAGCTCCTTGGTGGCGAACTGCCTGGTGGTGAGCTACTTGGTGAACTCCCTAGTAGTGAGCCACCTTGATGAGCTGCTGAGTGCGCTGCCTTGGTGGCGAGCTCCCTGGTGTAGTGCAACCCGACTGCCCTTTGCATGAGATGATTTGCTCCTCCTTGTAGACAGCAGGAGCTGAGGAACCTGCGAGAACTGAATCAGAGGACCCGGGGGTGTTTATCCGGCGGGGCCACTCCGATGGCTAAGTTAGCACTATGATAGTCGAGAGCATGAAGATGATATTTGAGAAACGAGAGAGCTAGAGAGCAGGGGTTACCTCCATTTTTCCTCTTCCACCCCCTCTGGGGGGTCGGAGCTCTTATATAGCGGTGTCCTGATAGATCTGGCGTAACCGCCTCTGATTCTCTGTCGCAGCCGTTATTTGCCAGGGCTGAGTTGGTGGGCGCAGGTAACCATTGTAGAGTACGGCCTGGCCAGACAAGGGACGCTTGTCAGGGACTAGCAGGCACGACGCCGCCTGGCCTGAGTCGTGGGAGTAGTCTCTAGATCTGGCAGGTACAGTTGTCAGGCGATACACCGAGCTACTTGGTATTGTGCTACTGCTAATATGCCGAGGTGCTTCTACTCGAGGCAAGTCTTTGAGGTGTACTAGGAGGTGAGCTGTTCGTAAGACGACAGGCTGAGTGGCCAGCTGCTTGTGGCGAGTTGCCTATGCCGAGCTGCCTATAAGTGGCGAGCTGCCCGTAGGTGACGAGCTGCCAAGTGGGAGCTGCCTGTAAGTGGCAAGCTGCCTATAGGTGGCGAGCTGCTTGTAAGTGGCAAGCTGCCTGTAGGTGATGAGCTGCCTGTAGCTAGCTCGAGCTGTCTAGTTGCCAAGAGGCTGCACTTAGTTGGCATGGGGTGCCAGGTGTCATAATTTCACTGGAGGGCCAAATCCGCCCTCATCAGGTGGCATTCATCAAGATTCACAATGTATAGAATTTAAGCATCTCTGTTATTATTTTCATGCAAGGCCTTAATTTTAACATGTTAATGCAAATTAAAGTATATGGACCGGGGTCTACTTGGAATGTTTGCAATTATGATTTCATCCTTACAAAACTGTCCTCACAGCCCCTTGCAAATGTGCATTAGAAATATCTCCCAATGAATAAAAACATACAAAAAGGTTATAAGGATGGTTTTATGAGGACGAAATCTGAATTCAAATGTTTGGGCCAAAAAGTAAGGGAAAGACAAGGAAACCAATACAATGGTTGTAAAGGTTTCCCTACCTTTCCCTTTCTCTCCCTACATTTTCTTTCAAACCAAACATAGCCTTAATTCCTCAAATGTATGTGAAATTCCCCAAGACTTTGCAAACCTCTTACTTTGTTAATAAATAGACAATTAAAAGCTTGCTCATTAATTGTCTGTATGCTTTCTAATTTTTATCACATTGTCCATATGTGAATAATGCAAAGTGTAGTATGCAAAAAGGAAAATTCCCGGTTAGTATCCTGTACTTTGGGCCTAGTGCCATTTTGGTCCCTAAACTTTAAAATGCGATAATTCAGTACCCAAACTTTTAAAACGTGACAATCCAATACCTACCGTTAACTACCTATTAATTAGTCATTAAATGGCATTTGAAAAAGGCACAACTGTCATTTAAGTGTTATTTAATTTTCTTTATCAACCATCTAAACATTGACAATGTGACCCCAACTTTCTTGAATGGGAAAGGCAAGGATCTGACATTGTTAATTTTTTTGTCAACGTTTGGATGCTTGGTAAAAAAAATTAGATGACACTTGAAGGGTATTTATGTCTTTTTAAAATGTTACGTAATGGCTGGTTAACATCTAATTAACAATAGGCACTAGATTATCATGTTTTAAAAGTTCAAATACTGAATTGTCGCATTTTAAAATTCGGGGACTAAAGTGGCATTAGGCCCAAATTACAGTATACAAAATGAAAAACATTTAGGCTAAATTTGGTACAAATATGCACACTGCAAAGTTTTGTATATAGTATTTACAAATCTTATATTTGCACTGTCATAATCTTAACCATCAAATAGTTTCGCTAATATTTCATCTAATATGGACATCCAAATTATGTACTCAACCATCCCAAATATCTAGACCATCAACATAGATTGCGTGAATTAATCTCAACCATTCAAGTAATGTACACATATTTCAATTAATCTTAACCATAAAAGTAATGCGAGAAAATATCTAAAATTTAGAGCTCTTAAGGTTTGGACCATAAAAAATGTCTCATAAAATTAGGTAATGAATCCCAACCATCTAAACGGTGCATCAAAATATCATCAAATATAACATGTCTAAATAATGTACCAAGATTTTCATTTAATCTCAACCATACAAGTAGCGCATGGTACTCTCTTAAAAGCCTAGGCTATGTGAAGTATTTTATCAAGTAAAAACCTAAGACCTTGGCCATCTAAAAGACCTCTCAAAATTAATTAATAATATCGACCATCCAAATAGTGTATCGAATTTCATCTAATCTTAACCATTTAATTATTGTACCAAGCCTTCATGACATACTTGAATGCTCATAATTAGCTCTTTAAATTTTGTTGGCCAATTTATTTTGGATGTCCCTGCTTTAAATCCTAATGCATTACTTAGATGGTGAAGATTGATTCATTGATCTCAAGAGAAGAGTTTGATGGTTTGGTTTATTTCGTGCATCAGTTATATGACCTAAATTTGGTATAACACTTGAAGGAAAAAATATCGCTGGAC